ACTGTGGTAATGGAGTCAGGGAGAGATGCATTGAGCCATGTTTCACAGACAAATATAATGTCGAATTTACCATATTTAGTAGGAGGAAAAATTCAGGTATTTTATTCGTGAGACTTCTTGCATTGAGTAGCTTGCATTTAAGGCCAGCAGTAGTTGGAATTGAGGTAGTTAGAGGCGTGCATGCCTAGTCTTGGGGGATGGTGGATTGGTTGAGGTAGGGTTGTGGTTGAAGGTTAAAGCTGAGTTGTGGGTTGTGTGACTTACTTTTTTTTTTTTTTTTGCCGAGCCGGGGCTTCTGAAATTGCACAGCCACCTGCAGGACAGCCACATCCTCTCTTAGCGGGTCACCTTCAGTTTTGTTCTCTAATTAACACCAAGCACGTTCCATCTGGGGCAGAGAAGGCTGGTTGTTTCTCTAGTCTGAGCCGCACTGCCGGTGCAGTTGGAGGGTTCCTTCTGAGGTGTGTGTGTGTGGGGGGTCCTTCTTCTGTGTGGGGGACCCTCTGAGGATGCCTTCCTTTTCAGAGAGCAAACAAGGCAAGGCTGAGCACTCTCCCCTGCCTTATTCAGCCCGGGTGCAGAATGGAGATTGAGGGGAGCTGGATTGGAGCAAGGTTAGCGTGATTTAAAACTGCAGCAAGGGAGATCACTAACCTGCCCAGTGCTGTCATTTTGATGGCCGAAGCCATGAAGGGATCAGCAAACTCTGCATGGAGTAGAATAAAAACGGGACCGAGACACGACATACGGCAACAGCCTTAGGACTGACTGGGAAGACACTGCAGGGGGGATTGTGCAGGAAGGAAGCAGCCAAGGAACCTGCTGCAGACGAAAACCCTGAAGGGCCCAGAGAAGATTCCCGGCTATCAGGATCGCCTCTCTTACAAACGTCAGGATGGTGCCTGGGAAACAAAGGGATCAGGATAGCGCCAATGATGGTATTCCCTGGGACCCTGGATGGAAGCACAAGTTGGACTTTGAAGAAGCAGGGGAGGAGAAGCACGGGGACCTTTGAACTTTGGCCTTGGAGAAGATTTCGGAGAATATGGTGGACAGCCAAGGAAACAAATGGATCCTGGAACAAATCAACCCGGGTTCTGATCTGAGGCACAAATATTCAGGCTTAAATTGTCATAGTTGAGACCCATTTTGCAAAGACCCAGCTCTCCGGGGGGGGGGGGGGGGGGGGGGGGGGGGGAAGAGGGGGGGGGGAGGAGGAGGAGCGGGGCCAGAAGCCTGCGGGGCAGGAGCACCATGCGGAGGTTGGAGGACCAGGGAGGGAGGAGAGTGGTCTTGGGGCAGGTCGATGGGGTCACCAAGAGCGGATGATGGCGCAGCAGAACCAAGGGATTCCCCTCCCAGAGCCTCTGGCTCCCCCACCCTGGAGGCAGCAGAGATGTGCCATTCGCCGGGTGCTCCTGTCTCGCTGGGCCGGGAAAGTCCGCAGAGGCAGCCGGCTCAGTCCCTGGAGACGGAGCTTTGGGGCGGCCCAGAGGGCCAGAGCTGTGGGGAATTGGGGCTGGGCTTGGCCGGCTGCTCCCCACCCACCAGAGCTACTTCTGCTTTCTGCCACCCCAGGAGAGCACTGAGTAGATTCTGCCCACCGGCTGCAATTCCCTTTTCTCTGCCGCTCCGGGCCGTCCTGGGTGCAGCCTCATGGCTGGGGGCATCACCTATGCTGACCTGCGGTTTGCAAGGGGCCCCCCGGAGAGAAGCCCGGGGGAAGGTAGGGGCCAGCCTGGTTAGGGTCCTTCGGGTCTCCCCTCCGTCCTCTTCTTCCTGACCCCCTTTGTCTTCCAGAGCCCAACGAGGGGGAGCTCACCTATGAGAACCTCCAGGTATCCCGGGGCCTGGAGAAAGAGGGGGCACAGTGTGGCCCCCAGAAGAGTGTCCCAGAGCTGCCGTGCTGGGCCACCTCTTGCCGCTGCTGGAGGCCAGGTGAGTAGCTGTGCTCCCCCCCCCAAGGCCCCAGGCTGCCAGAAGCCTCCCCTGCCTCCCCCTGGACAGCTGGCAGGAGGCTTCAGCTGGCACGTGCCCAGCCGGCTCCTCTCCCCAAGGCAGAGCCACTCGCTCAGTTCAGCTGAGAGACAAAGGAGCTGGGTGTTTAGACACCAGCAAGGACTGAAAGAGGCAAAGCGGGGGGGGGGGGGGGGGAGGGGGGGGGGGCAGGGGGAAGGACAGAGACAGAGAGCTCACACACAAGGTGAAGGGAAGATTTCATTCAATAACTCACTGGGATTTTTTCCCCCAAAGGAAGGATCCTAATGTTAAGGAGAAATGGGCAAACTTTATATTCAAGCATCAATCAATCCGAATAGCACCGGAAAGGGCCTCGGACAGGTCTTCTAGTCCAGGGGTCGCCAACCTTTTGGACCTCAGGCACCACCAAACTCATAATTTTAAATCCCAGGGACACTAATATGAATTTTGACTGATGGTGGCTTGCTGGTGTTGGTTGGAGAGAGAGAGAGATCCGATCTAACCTCGGAAAACTGGCAGAGATATTCTCTCTCTCCCTCACCCCCGCCCCTCCAAGGCAGCCACATTCCTTCACTAGCCTGCTTTTCAGCTCTGTTCTTGGGGGGGAGGGAGGGAGAGAGAGAGGGGGGGGGAGAGAGTATCCTACAGTCCCAAATAGAGAATGATCAATTGGTGGGAAAACAGGGTGGGGGATTTTCCCAGGGTCTCTTGTCTGCAGAAAAATCCCCCACCCCGTTTTCCTACTGATCAATCATTCTTTGCCATCTCCAGCTCCGTTCTCAGGGGGAGAGAGAGACTTTTGGCTTCATGCAAGGAAAGCAGCAGAAGTCTTTCTTTCTCTCCCCCAAACTCTGCCAGAAAGGAGTGAGTCCTTGTGGGACTTGTTGCATTGGTACAGCCTCTTGGAACAGGATCCCTTGCAGGGTCCCAAAGACTCGTTTCTGGCAGAGTTTGAGGAGAGAGAGAAAGACTTTGGCTGCTTTCCTTGCGTGCAGCCAAAAGCAGAAGAAGAAAGAAGCGGAAAGAAGCAGCCCGTGGCCAGGCCAAGTGAGTGGGGCGAGTCCACCCACTCCCCTCACTATGTGTTGTTTGCAATGCAAGCGACGCAGCCTTGTGTTCCTGCACAGCCTGGATTGCTTTGGGGGGGACATTTCTCTGTGGACCACCAAAATTTTCTCCCTGGCCCACCGGTTGGCAACCCTGTTCCAGCAGGAGACCCTAGACCCTTTTAGAGGTGGCTGCCAGGACTCTTCTCCGGTGTTGGAGCCCCCAGAGCTTCTGTTCCACTGGTTAATTGTCCCGACGGTTAGGAAACTTCTTGGACCCAGGTTGCTTCTCCCCTTGGGAGGTCTCCATCTTGCTTCTCGTCCTGCCTTCTGGCGCTTTGGAGAACAGGTGGATCCCCCCCCCCATTTGTGGCAGCCTCTCAGGGACTGGAATCCTGAATCGCTGGGCTGCCCAGAAAGAGAGAAAGCGAAAGGGACCCGGCGTAACGGAGCGGCAGAGATCTTGTCAGAGATCTTTTGGGGACCAGGTGGGGAATCTGAAGGAGCGGATTCCTGGGGACCTTTTGAGCAGCGGAGGTGAGGAAAAAGTCTTGGATCCCACAGGGGGGAGGAGGGGATGCTGAGACCCCCAAGCCTCACCCTTGACGGGGGGTGGGGGGGAAGAGCTCCCGTTTCTCACCTCCCGCTTCTTACGCGAATCCTTTTCAGGTGAGCACTTTGCGTGACAAAAAGACTGTTTGGGCAGCGGAAACAGAGCCGTGTTTGAACTGGGCATTATTCTGGAACCGATTTAGGTGTGCGGGGGGGTGGGGGGCAGAGACAGCAGAGGGACATGGAGAGTGATTGCAACAGAAAAGGGGGGAAAGGAGACACAAAGAAAAGTGGGGAGCAGATTTTGGAGAAGAGTTTGCAGATTTATTATTTTGTTATTATTATTACCCCATGATCTGGACGTTGTTCCAGCTTTATTCAGCTGTGGGATAACAGCAGCAACTTTTTCAATAGCATCAGAATGAAAGCAGAAAGGAGGACACCAGGTGATCCCTCTATTCCCCATCCTGGAAGAAACAGTTTTGCCAAGGGGTGTGGGGTGTGGGCTGTGGGCTGTCATCGCACTAAGAAGAATCTGGATTTTGCTTTCAGTGACAAACCGCCCAATGCTGGGAGTCCTGGCTCTTTGCCTCTTCCTTCTGGCCACCAACATTGCGCTCGGCGTGGAGTGTGAGTAGCAGCTACTTGGTGCTCCAACTTGCACCCTGACAATCTCCAGGGAACAAGGGGGCAGGCCCCCAGGTTCTTGTGGGGGAGGGAGAAGGGGGGCCTTCTGGAGGTCTGGGGTCGCCCTTTGCACTCGAGGGAGGGCCGGTCCCCACGCAGGCCACGGCTAGCCACTGCGCCTCGGCCACCCCACTATGGGAGGCTGTGGGGCAGCCTCTGCCCCTGTGCAGCGCTCCCTGCAGAGGCCGGGGCACCACCAGGAGAGCCAGGGCTGCTGACCCCCACCTCGCAGCCCAGAATCCGGGAGAAGAGACCTTCACCCGCGCCCACTTTCCCTCCAGACTTGCAGGCCTCCCGGCAGCTCCAGGAAGCGTCTGGCGAGCACGCAGCCAAGAGCCACGTCCTGGGGGAAAGTGCCCACCGCCTGCAAGTCAGCCTGGAGGAGAGCCGGCGCCTGCTGCGCCTGACCGAGCAGGAGCTCAACTCCACCAAGCAGGAGCTCCACTCCACCAAGCAGGAGCTCAATTCCACCACGGTGGCCCTTTGGCAGAGCCGGGCGGCCGAGAACCAGACCCGGCGGCAGCTGCAGCGCCAGGAGCTCCAAGCCAACTACAGCCTGGCTCTTCTGCGGAGGGAGCAGGCGAGCCTGGAGACCAACCTCAGCCAGGCCACCTCCTGCCCGCAGATTGGTAGGTCTGGGTTCCCCTCTCCCGGCCTCTTCCAGGGGAACAGGTGCGGGGGGGGCTTCCCTGAGCCGGAGGCGGGGTCTGGGTGTGGGGGTTGCTTCTCCACATTTGCCAACTTCCTGTGTTGAGCTGCCCCCCCCCCCCGTTGTGAGCCTGGTGTGTCTCGCTGAGCACCCGCCACCCCCTCCCCCAAGTATCGGTTCCTCCGGCTGGAGCAGGGAAAGCCGAGCGCGACCAGCTGCTTCCTCTTATAAGCCGTCGCAAACTCCGCCGCCGCCTCCTCCTCCCCCCGGGACTCCCCAGAGATGCCGCGTGTTCCCGGTGCTTCGCTGGCAGCTCCGAGCAGGGGGGCGGACTGGGGCGGGTCCCGGAGCCGCGCCGACCCTTCCCCAGCCCCCTCCCGCTCGGCGGCCGCTCGCCCAGTCCAGCCGGCTTCCCCTCCGAGCCTTCCCTCCAGGGTGCTGCCCCCGCGGGTGGACGCCGTTCCGCTGGAAGTGCCTGCGGGCGTCGAGCGAGGAGAAGACGTGGGCGCAGAGCAAGGCGCACTGCGAAGGGACGGCCTCGCGGCTGCTGGTCCTCCCGGGCTCCTGGTCGGCGGGAGAGCTCTGGAAGGCCGTGGGCGAAACCTTCACCCAGGTGAGGAGAGGCGGGGCAAAGACCCTCGGGGGGGGGTTCCCTCCATAAGATTGGGCGCCATTAGGACAGCCCCCGCCCCCAGTCTCAACGGAGCAGCACCGACCTGGGCTTCGGTTGGACGGGCAGAGCTTTGCCTCTTCGACCCCTGTGCAATTCCAGCCTGTCGAGACCCCTCTGGATCTGGAGCCGATTTTCTCTGGGGGGGTTGGCTATTCCTGCCAGCTTAGTATATGGAAATGTGGTAAGTTCCCCTTCTATTCCTTCATTTAGGAAGATATGGAAGAGTCCTGGGCTTAAGACAGAACCTTGTGGCACCCCACTGCTTACTTCCCTCCGTGTAGACATAGTCCTATTAAGGGCGACTCCTTGAGTATGGTTGGTCAGCCAGTTGCGAGTCCATCCAGTGGCGATACCGTCTATCCCACTTTTGTCTAGTTTACCAAGAAGTAGGTTGTGGTCTACTTTGTCGAATGCCTTGCTGAAGTTTAACTATATTACGTCCACAGCACTTTGCTGGTTTACTAATTTAGTCACTTTGTTGAAGAATGAAATAAGATTGGTTTGCGATGACCTGTTTTTAACCCGTGTTGACTGCTAGTTATTACTTTACTTGTTTCTAGAGGTTGAGTTCCTTGGATTCAGAGTGGTTCTGGGTCGGACTTTTGAAAAAAAACGAGGTGGGCTGGACCTGGATAGATGGTTCCTTGTACAAAGGGTGAGTGAGACTGAAGGGTCTGGGGAAGCAGGCAGCTCCTGGCTCTAAGGGCTTGACTGCTGGAAGGGAAGGGGTAAAGGCAGCCCCACCTGAGGGGAGGGGAGGGGGAGGGGACCCGGGAGGGGCTCCAGTCCAGGCCCCTGCCCATCGCCCTTTGGAAGACTTCGGGGCAGGGAGGCCACTTTGAGGAGAGCCCCAGCCCTAGATGGCTCCTCGGGAAGGCCTGCCTGGCCGCCAGCCTTATAGAGTAACAGAATAACAAGACTTGGAAGGTCCTCTAGTCCAACCCCCCCTGCACAAGCAGGAGACCCTCGACCAGTCCAGACCGGTGGCTGTCCAATATTTTCTTAGAAGCCTGCCATTTCTGGAGGGAAGCCGTTCCACTGGTGAATTGTCCTTATTGTTAGGAAGTTTCTCCTTAATAACCAGGTTGCTTCTCTCCTTGGTGAGTTTCCACCTGTTGCTTCTTCTCCTGCCCTGGGGGGCTTTGGAGAAGAGGTTGTCCCCTCCCTGTCTGTGAGAGTCCCTCAAATATTGGAGGATGCAATCGTGTCACCCCTGGTCCTTCTCCTCACTAGAGTAGCCGTACCCAGTTCCTGCACCTGTTCATCAGCTGGCTTCTTCGGGGGATGTCTTTTTTTTTTTTAGTGGTATTGTGCTAGACTGGGCTTTTATAATCACACTTTTCAAAGTTTCCCAAGTGTCCTGGGTTGTTTTCTCCTCGTGGAGGATTCTCATGGAATTCTTCCCAAGCACTCCCTGAGTTTGTCGAAATCAGCTTCCTTCAAATCCAAGATTCTAGTCTAGCTTTGTTCTATTCCTTGTGCTTGCATAATGTTGACTTCCAATATGGCATGGTCGTGTCCCTTAAATTTCCCATAACTTCTACTCCTTCGATCATTTCATCTCTGTTCGTGAGAATTAAGTCGGCTGTGGCCCACCTATGGTTCCTTTTGGGAGACAAAGTTGTTTGCTAGGTTTGTTTGATCTTCCACTTGATGCAGAGACCCCAGTGGATGCAGGATTAAAGCCCACCCCCAACCCCCCAGGCATCCTACATACCTTAGCTAGCCAATAAGCCCCCCCCTCCCCCCCATATCCAGCTCAGTTTTGCCTTTCCTAGTCCAGGGCGCTTTACTGGCCAACTTTGCAGGGCTTATTGGCTGTGTGCATGTGTGTGTGTGTGTGTGCTGGTGTCTTATCTGCAGCTCCTGGAGGATGCAAGACTTGGCCTGTTCTATGAATTGAAACGTATTCCAACTGTTTCCTTTTTCTGTCTTTTCTTTTCTTTTGTTCGCAATGAGGACCTCGACAGCATCGGTGCCCCAGACCTCTCTGGGAGCCCGTTTGCTTCCTCCTCGTTTAACTTGTTTACTGTGTTTTTGCACATTGCTCTATTTCCCAGCTGATGGGGGGGAGGGGGGTACTCACTGGTTAAAGCCACTGAGCTTGTCAGCTGGAAAGCGGACAGCCTGGGTTCAAGACCCGAGTGCCATTTGAAGGGGTGAGCTCCCGTCCTTGCCCAGTTCCTGCCCACAGAACCGTTTGAAAGCATGGAAATGCGAATATATAAATAAGTGCCATTTCTGTGAGAAGGGAAGAACGTTCCTTGGGCCTCAGGAGTACAGCCATGCTGGCCAATGACCGTGGAAATGTCTCTGGATAATGCCGGCCCCCTCGGCCAAGGAACAGAGAGGAGCAGCGCCCCCTGGAGCCGGACATGACTGGACAGGGCAAACTTTTGCATTTACCTTTATTTCCCAGGCGAGAGCCAGTTTGCTGCACTGGTGAAAAGCCTCAGACTGGGAACCGGGAGTTCTGTCCTGGCTTCAGCTGACCTGAAGTCAGTGGGCCCTTTCAGCACCGGGAAGGGGGGGAGGCTGGGGCAAAAGCCCCCCGGGAACTGCAGCACAGGGAGATGTCAGGAGTGACTCCAGGGCAGCACAGCCAGTGTGCAGTGCAAAGCTGGTTACGTTTTAAGAGGAACACGGGGCCCAGAGAGAGGGTTGCTGTTGCACACCTGTTAACACAAGTCCCGTGCTTGCATGGCCCAAGGATCCCCACTCGTCCCTTTGTGGTTGCTCAGCAGGGAAACACGCTTGCCACCCGTTCTGACGTGCCTTATCGCTTGGTCCACTTTGGAAATCCGGCTGCTGCAGAGTTTGTGTTTCACATTCAGTAGAGAAAGAAATCTGTGCAGATGTTCATAAGTGTCTTTTCAACATTCCAGTGAAATTCTGTATGATTACAACTACAACTCCTATGCAGCCCTGGGCAACAGAGGACTGTTCTCTTCATCTTCATGGAGGAAGTACAGATTCATCTGCGAGAGGGCAGCCAGTCCTGAGGACCCCCCACCGAATGATCGGTATGCAGCCCCCTCAGTGAAGCCAGCCACCTTCTGGGAAGGGAGGGACAAAGTGCAGGCCCCTATCCTGCATCGGGGATCCGGGAATTCTGATTCTAAGCTAAGATTGGATGTGCCCAACTTGTTTCGTTTTAACCTTAGTTGCTTTCTCACGGCTTAATGTGGCTCAGGGAACCTTGTGAACTCAGAACATAGGTTAGTTCCGTGACCAGGTTAAGCACCTAATGGCAGGTGACACAAGAACTCTGGATCTCCCCCCACCCACCCTCTGCTCAGAAGGAGACCCCCTCTCTCTCCCCCCTGAGCTCCCTCTGGGAACAATTTCTGCCCATAAGAAATTCTTCCTAATATCCAGCCAAAATCTGCTCCCTGGAAAGTGAAGCCCCAACTGTCTGTGCCTGGCTCCGGTCCCTGCCCCTTAAGCCCCCACCCCCACCCGGGCTTCCTTCTCCAGACGCGGCAAATCAGCTGCTTCCCCCACCCCCAATCTCTGCTGTTGTCTCCCCTGCCCCCATTTGCCCCAATCCTTCCTGAAATGGGGCTGCAGCACTCTGGAGCGCTTTGCCCGGTGCAGAACCAGCCGACAAGAGCAACAGCGTCTTTCGCCTTTGACCACCTGCTTCGGTCAAGGGAGCCCAGACCCATCCTTGCCCTTCTTGCTGCCGTGTCTTTGCCCTGGCTTAGGTTCAGCCTGCGATCCACCAAGACCCCAGACCCTTTTCCTTCTTCAGTCCCGCTGCCCAGAGGGGCCTCCCTCACTTCGTTTCCCTCCCAGTGACAACATTTCTGCTTTCTTCCTTCAAGGCTCTGGAGGGACCTTTGAGACGCGCTTTGGACCGCAAACAGCTGGATGCGGGAGAACAAATGGACCCTGAGCGTGTGGAGCTGCGGCTGATGCTGGCCCAGAGGCTAGGAGGAAGCCCGGGACCTTCCTCCCCCAGAACTGACCACAGGTGGACGGCAGAGGCCTCCGCAGGGGCTGCTGACCACGTTGAAATGGTGGGCATCAGCAGGGGTCAAAGTCCCAGCCCTCCTTACGTGCTCAGGAGCGTGCAAGGTGCATTGCAGTTGGGCTCATGCTCACCGTTTGGACACGTGGCTCGTGGCCCTTGTAGGTGGCCCTTTAAGAGCACCTGGGCCACATGGCAGGGAGCGGAGGCCCTTCTTGTAAGCCTCCAGTGCCTGCGAACCCAATAAATCTGTTCCGACAAGGAGGGAAGTGTGTCCAGGCGCCTCCATGCTTGCCGGGAGCATCTGGGATGGCCTGGAACTCCCGAGCAGCCTCTCCGTCAGGGTGGAAGGAGGTGGACACTCCCACGTCGCCTTGTTCTTATTCTCAGTCCTGGTGCCCAACTTGGTTCCCTTAAGTCTTTCGTGCAAAATTTGTCCCATTGGTCAAGAAACCACAGGACAACGATGCCACGACGGGAACCGGAGGCTGGTCTCTGGTTTGCCCCCCAACTGTTTTCGTCATCACAGGCCCCAGAACTTCACCCGTGAGGCTGCTCTTCAGCCCCGGTGATGTCGGCCACCTTCTGTAGCAAAGCCCCTCCGGCCTTCATAGCTCCTCTTTTCTCCCCAGCTTCTGGCAACCGCCTCTGATCTACTGGGGTGTCCTCCTCCTGGGTTCATTGTGGGTACTGGAGTCCATCTGGGAGGAAGATCTAGGAGCACCGTTGTCTTGCCAGATAGCTGGCCGTGGGCCTCTTGGCCATGAGCCTCTCTGGGCTGGAAGAAGGGAGGGGGAGGGGCGAGACGGGGCAGTGACCCAGGCTGAAGGCATCTTGTGTGAACTCCTCAAGGAGTGCAGGTCTGC